AATAATAAGAAAGATAGATTCTTCTCTTTCTGTGCCCTCTCTCCGATTCATATACACTTGCGACGCTTTTGTCGCCTGTGCCCGCACTTCCAATTAGAACTAATCAGCAAAGTGTTTGTTTAGCGGTTAGCCTCCGTGATAAGACAGGAGCAGCATCAACAGCACCATCAACAGCTGTTGCCCTCGCTTAGCCACAACCATGCCCCTGGCCCCGTCTCCGCCTCCCCCCTCGCCACCTCCCGGTTTGTCGTCGTCGGCGAACTCATCAAAGTAGTTGCCATAGATGCCAAAGGTCAGCAGCTCTGAGTGGCTCTTGCTCAGCCCCAGCTCCACATGTGTTGAGGCGGTCTCGATGTCGGTGTCGTCTTGCCACGCCCACTCGAATTCGGTGGCCTGCAGGGCGTAGAGCGCCGCGCTTAGCGTGCTGGGCATGAGCAGCCGTCGCTGTCGCCGCACGAATTCTCCGCGAATGCGCAGCCAGCTGAACGTAATGCTCCGACTGCCCGCCGCTGGCTCCTCTGCCGGCGCCGCTGCCAGCTGGCCGCAACTGAGAATGCTCTCGTTGCGGCACGCAAATAGACCGCAGAGTCTGACCACGCTATACTGTTCCTCCTCGTAGCGCCGCTGGCCCACAAAGACGCCCGCTCGATAGCTGTACTCCGGCTGCTGTGTTGCATCACTGGGCAGCTCCAGCTGCAGCTCGAAGTCGCAGCAGAGATCCTGCTGGCAGAGGCGTCGATGCTGTCTGCTGCCATTGAGCAGCGGCACTAGCCAGCTGGCAAAGTCCTCGAGCTGCGGCTGCTGCAGCATCACCAGCTGCCTCTGCGCTGGCCCCGCACGCTCCTCATCCAGCTCCAGCTCCAGCTCTGCCTCCGGCTCCTGCTCCGACTCGTGCTCCTGCAGCGACTGGGAATAGCGTGGCACACGTGCCAGCAACAGCTGCCGCTGTCCAACGTGCGTGTCGCCCACCATGCGCCGCACAAGGGCGCCGCGACGCCCTGCATAGATGCCACTCCCACTGATGCCGCCGTGGGGCAAGCTCGCGCCAGCTGCCAGCAGATTCACATTGTTGGCCCATGCCCAGCCCTGTTGGAACTGGCTAGCTGCAAGAGAGTTAAGAGCATGTGAATGAAAATTCACAATTGAAAATGCCAGCTTATGCTGGAAAGCTGCAATGAACTTTAACAGCAGTTTTACAAGGAGGATAAAAGAAAAAACGTTCAGAAAACTTTGATGGAATATAGGACAAGACTTTTGCAAGTGCATCATAGAACAAGCTGAAGAATATTCAAAGAAACGGTGCAAGAAGTGTTAGCAGTCATAGTTACAAGGAACATACAATAGAACCTTAAAGTATGCCAGAAGAGGGCTTTCATTGAAAGTTTAAGATAAAGCTTTTTAAAGTTTTTTCTGTTGAACTTTCTGCTAAGAAGATTTTTAAAGTATGACAAAAGAGCGCTTTCAATGAATACGGAAGATAAAGTCAATAAGTTGAACACCTTTTCTACTTATGTCGAAGAATTCAGTCAAATCTACAAAGATGTTACAAGCCACTTGTAAAAATATTTATAATTTGAGGAGAGAACGAACATAAAATGTCGATAAATTGAAAAAACAAGATAAATTCTAAATATCAGGAAAGTATTCCGGAAGCCCAGCTGATAAGAAAATATATTTACATAATGTAAGAAGAAGAAGAATCAGAATAGACAGAGAGAAAGTCTCTAATACGATAAGAAATTCCAGTGAAAAGCAGAATGCAAAATAAAGCCAACTGATTAGAGCGGAATAATCCGAGACAATTTAGATACTCTGTTATCACAGACAATATTTACGAAGTCGACACGTTTGGACGGAGCTGCTCTAGTGCAGTGCAGTGCACATGAAATTGTTTTCACTATATAGGGTATAATAATGGCATACTAGCTTAGATAACATGAAGCAATAAAGCAGTAATTGCAGAGTTAATCCTACAGAGTATCTCAAAGTCGATCATCTGATTAAAATAAAAAATCTAGGAAATTTTAGATAACTACGTGTATATGTCAACTCTTATATGAGTACAGGCAATGTATACGTCGTTCACTTGACAATATATTAAATTCAGAGCTTGCAAATGAGAGTTGAGCGTTTTTTCGTTTATTCTCTTTCTCGCATCATACTCAAAAAAAATTGTGTAGACACGTCTCTCTCTGAGCGTCACTCTCTTTTTTCTTTAGCATCTGTTTCGCTCAGACGCAATGCGATGACTCATTCGTKTGACGCTCTCACATGAGTGTCGCGTAAAACTAACACGATTWTCTCTCACACAAAGCCTCTCAGCAAGAAACACTTTGACTAACAAACTCAGCAGAAAATGTTTTTGCCTTCGTGTGCATGTAAATACACGCATACATACATACAAAAAGAACGCAGCAATCGCGCGTGATTACCCATACAAACGCAACTTACCGTTACTTCATTTAACTCAAGCAAACGATCAGTGTTTGACTTGAGGAAACGAAAACAGAAACAACTGTCTCCCTCAGAGCGCGAGAGAGCTAAGCCAGACGCGACAAAAACAGTTTCTGTCTGAGTTTTTTTGACTGTGTCAGTGAAAGACACTTTTTTGCAGACAACGCAAAAGTGTTAACAGTTTTTTGCGAGCTATGATTAAATTCCATAATCTATGAGAATTTCGTAGAATTACAGGGTATATGTGTGTCAACTTTCTAACATTCTCTTTCTATTTCACTACAAACTGAAATAGTTCGGAGTTTAGTTTGAAGCTGCGTAGTCAAATGAGAGCTAGCTCGCAGGTAATGTTATGTAATGTTATTACAGGGTATTTGAGTATCGACTACTCTTACTTTTACTTACTCTGCTGCTCTGTAAGGTAAGCTATATTCAAAACTTTGACGTAATGACTGGAGAATCTGACTAGTATACCGCTTATACAACTACAGGGTATCTTTGAGTCTTTTACCGACAAGTTTTTCCTATTTTACCCTTAACTGAAAACTGATTGAAACTTTAGCTTGAAATTTCATAATCAAATGACAACTAGCTCGCGAGTAGCTTGGCATATGTTATTATAGGGTATATGCAGGTCGACTACTTTTGCAGTCAGACTCCAAGTTATCTATAAGTAAAGATAGCTACACTTTGACAACTCAATACATGACAACAGGGTATTCTTTAGTCGTTACACGGCCTACCTGTGAGAAAGGGCAGCTCGGAGTTGAACATCTTGGTGACAATCAAATGCTGAATGGAGTAGCGCTCGACGAGCTCCTGGGCGGGCGTGTAGAAGAGCATATCGAAGCAAATGAAATGGCCGAAGGTCACATTGAAGTCCGTCTCGAAGATGGCGTATTCCGGCTCTTTGGTGCGATTCAGCTGCGGCTCCAGATACAGGTTCCACTTGCGGTAACGCGACACCACCGCACCGCTGCGGTCCAGCACCACGTTCGTGTTGTAGAGTCGGTAGCCGCGGGCGGGGCAGTCGGCCTCGCGGTCGCAGCGCTCGCGCTCCTTCACATTCAGCACCAAGTAGCTCTGGGCGGCGACAGCTGCGCAGGCCAGCTGCCTGAGAAACGTGGCCACGCCATCGACAGGTGCAACCACAATGGGGCAGAGACTGCGACGCGAGGGCGCCGGCACCGCCGTCAATTGCAGCTGGCTGTTCAGCGTGCCCTCCGGAAAGATCAGGATGTCCGCAGTGCCATTGGCGGCTTCAATCAGCTCCAGATACGCAGCCAGATTCTCCTCGAGCAGCTGCTCGGAGCTGCCACCACTGACCGCCGGACGAAACTCCACCACGCCCGCCGTATAGTAGCCGCCGGTGGCTGCACCACAGCCAACCACAGCGGCACACAGCAATTGGAGGAGCAACAAGCACTTGCCACGCATGATGTGCTCGACAGACTGCGCTCGATACGCCTCATTCAAATTCACTTTCCCCACTCTCCTTCTCACTCTCTCATCTCTCTCTCTCTCTTCTATTTCTATCTAATCGTTCGTATCGGACACTGCGGTTTATGGTCGCCGTGTATTGTTATCGTTTCTGGCATATGTGAATTATGGAGTCATTCAGACGAAGATCGAAGTGAGCATACTTTTAGGCCCTCAAGATAAACTGAGAAGTAATCAGATCTATGAAACGAGAGATCAATATCAGTTACAATGCACTATGGTCCAGATTTCGTTTGTTTTGGCATAAAGTCTATTTTTCGATGTTAATGAATCGTTAAAATTTTTTGTTGTCTTAAAGTACATTCATCATACATTATAAAAATGATAATAAAAAACTTTAGAAGTGAAACAAAAGCTTTATGAGAGCTTTTAAAAGTGAACTATCGATCAGCTGATTATTGAACACAAATTGGCGCAAAAATCATCTGTTGCTTTGTGTTCTGCCACACGCGTAAATTTAATCCAGAAAATTRAACTTAAWTATGGAAAGTGAACTTCCAGGTATGCACTATCTAATGTAATGTTTCATTTTATGTATAGTTTGTGAATTTTAGTTTTGTGTAATGTTCAATTTATGTGAATTTTCTTAGAAAATTAACATGCGTTCTCCATGTTTCGTGGAATATAACTAATAAGCTGTTCCATGCTGAAAGCAACTAATTGGTCCAGATTGTACTTGTGAGTCTTGTCTTCCATGGGAAACCAAAAACTCATCCCCGTTCGTCCCCCTTTTCTCACANCGGCAAGAGTGGGCGTGGTCGCACTGATCCAAAATTTGGTGTACAAATTATTAGTGCCATAAAAATAAAATGTGCAAAGTTTGGATCTTATAAATACATTTTTCGACTTTATGCCAAAAAAAACGAAATCTGGACCATAGTGCAATGATTAGGTCAACTGGTTATGCCCTAAAATGAACTAGTTTCACTAGCTTTCATAAGTTTACTTCGATATACATTTTCCTAGTTTTTTCTATAAATATCATCTACAAATACTAATTAAGTAAGCTGAAAGAGTTACATAAATTATGGTCCATAAGCTTAACTAGTTTTACATAAGCTATGAGCGGAGCTAGATTTATGCATGCCATGAGTTAAACTAGTTCCATATGAGTACATACAAAATGAGCTGAGCTAGCTCCATCCATCATCAGCAAGCTATTTTTGATAATCTGAAAAACTTGAATATATTTCATAAACTAAACTAACTCTGTTTCATGGACTAAACTAGTTCCACAAATTCCAGTTCATTCTATTTGTTCTCTGAACTGAAGGGCTAGTACAATTTGATTGGAAGCAATAGATGAACTAGTCTAGTCTGCCATGAACTGAACTAGTATACCACGAGCTGACTTTAGGTGATAGGCCTAGAGACCCCTCAATTCTAGCAATAATTTTGGAATGAGCACGGAACTAGTTTCAAGCAAAAAAGTAAATTTTGAAAGAAGTAAACCAAAATAGTTCATCAAAACGTAGTTTTTATAGAAATATATGAAATATATATATATTTATTTTTATACCCTGAACCCACTGAAAGTAGGAGATCAGGGTATAATGGTTTTGTGAAAAGTATGTGAGAGGCAGAAGGCATCACCGCATACCCCATTAAGTATACATATTCTTGATCAGAGCAATGAGCTGAGTCAATATAGCCCTGTTCGTCTGTCAGTCTGTTCGTCCGTCCATCCGTCTAAAACTAGAAAGATGAAATTTTGCATACATACTCGTATACCATACGCAGTACGAGTTTATCATTTTTTTTCGATACTTCGGCCGATATATTTTTTATCGAGAATAATCGATAAATTGATTTAATTTCTTTCAGCCTAATTTGTATACAATTAGACCTGGAGAATGTCGAGCTCTCTTACTTGTTTCTTTAGAGCTTTAAAATGACATCACCAGTTCTACTTAGCGTCTCAATCTATGACCCCCATTGGTTGAGTTTCTCTTACACTAGTCTAGACAAATCTAGGAAATATAAGTTTTCGTAGATTTATAATGATTTCATCAATATCCTTAAATCTGACCCTTGCCCTTCTGCTAAATGTCTATCCCATAGTAAAAATCACACAAAAAAGATTCCTTCTAATTACTAAGGCTAACTATAAAGAGCACAATGCTAAGCATATAGAACCAGTTGCCACCAAATCGCAAGTCGGCTGCCCCATCGTCAGCGGGCTTATAGCCGCATTGAATATCCTTCTCCGGGGAGTCAATGCCATAGGTGCAAATATCATCGTAGTAATTCCCATAGATTGCGAATGTCAACATGTTGGAGAGGGACTTGCCTTCAGCCAGTGCGAAGCGAACACTCAACAGATGGCTGGAAGAAAGAAGCTTTTAATATATGAGTATTGTGTATATTAAGTGTAGATCCTCTCACCTCTTCTCCTCCTCCTGGACAGACCACTCGAACTGCGATGGCTCGAGTGGCAGCAGATTGTCCCTCACACTGTTCGGCGTCAGCAGAAACTCGTGAGACTTCGGATAGTTGGCCTCAATGAGCAATCGGCTGAAGTTGCGATTTGATTCCGTCGCATTCAGCAGCAGGCCACAATCCTCAATGTTGGGTCCGCTGCAGGCGAAGATGCCGCAGTTGCGCACATAGTTATTATCCACATCCTGCTCATTGCGCCAGCCATCGAACGCGCCCACTCGATAGCCAAAAKCGCTCTCAGGACTTCCTCCTGCCTGCACTGGGCTCCACTCCAGCTCGAAGTGGCAGCACAGCCCTCCATGGCAAACATCCTGTGTCACATTACGCTCCTGCTGCAGCCATACGCTTTCGTACAGCTCCAGATTCTCGTCTCGCTTCATCTTGAAGCCTGAGCTGCTTCGAGCTAGAACCCTCTGCTCCAGACTCTGCCCAAGTCGCTGCTTCTGTCTCTGAGTCGAGACACGTCGATGTGACGTAGCAGCCGAGCTGGGATACTTGGGCACCTGGGCCACATAGATGCGACGCTCGCCTTCATCCAGCTTCATTACGCTGGTGATGGTTCCCTTCCGTCCATTAAAGATTCCTGTTCCAGTACTGCCATACTCCGTGTGACTGGAGCCTGCAGCTAAAAGATTCACATCATTGGCATAGGACCAGCCCAGCTGAACTTGAACAGCTGTGGAAGAGGAATAAGAGATGCTCATTGAATTCAGTCTACCGTTGCACAAATCGGACTCACCTGTGAGAAAAGGTAGCTGAGAAAACCACATAGTAGGAAAGACAAAGTCCCGAATGTCCTGCGTCAGACGCAGCTCATGGGCTGGGGCGTAGAACAGGATATCGAAGCAAATGAAATGGCCGAAGGTCACATTGAAGTCCGTGTCAAAGCTCACCGACTCCGGCACGAAAGTGCTGTTCCTTGGCTCGCCATACAGATGAACCTTGCGGTATCTGGAGACAACAGTTCCATTCCGGTCGAAGACCACGTTCGTATTGAAGATATTGTGTCCATTTGAGGCGCAAGGACGAGTGTCCTCGGGCGTATCGGAGCAGAGCTGTTTCTCATTGATGTTGATCACAATGTAACTTCTGACATTACGAGCCGCACAGGAGATCTCGACAAGGAACGGTTCATAGTAGCTGGCGAAGGGATCGTCCAGGCAGGGTGTCACCTCCGCATCGGACGACGGCACAAAGCTGGCAGTGCTCAGGCCATTGAGAGTCATCTCAGGAAAGACAATGATGTCTACTGCGCTGGCATTCGGCGAGTTGATCAACTCCAAGTAGCCAGCCAAATTGTCGGCCAGATTCGCATGGGCATCGTTCCCATTGGCATGACGGAATTCAACAACGCCGGCCATATAGAAACTCTCGCTGGCCGATTCACCGATCGACGCCTGCGAATAGCCAACTTACGATTAGCCGCTAACGCTTATCGGGGCTGCTAACCCACCTGCTGACTCAGCCTGATTCCAACAGCCAACAGCAGCAGAAGCAGCTGCCACGCTCTGCTAGCGCTAGTCACATTCTTGGCCATTTGGATGTGCTGTTGCTGCCTTGCGCATCGGCAAACGTTGAACTGGGATACAGTCGGCGATACGGAAACTCTTTTATAGCCAAATCCAAAACCGAAATTCATCTATCTAATCAGCACTAGCAACAACTTGCACTACATTTTTCCATAGTGTTCATATAGGTTAGATGAAAAACTCGTTTCCTCACCAGATGGCAAAAATGTATAGTCTCACAAATATCTGAAAGTGCATCTTGAGAATCAGGAGCGATATATAAGAGTATTTCAACTTCGGTGCGACAAATGTCGTTCTGGTAGCTTAATTTTGCACGCCTTTCGATTTTGCACGCGACAAGAATGTCAATATTTATTTTGTTTGATGATCGCCGACCCGTGCACAGTGCTTCCAAGAAGTATACAAATACCATGAAGCATACAGTGTCATCAATTGAAGATCCATCTGGGAAGTACTCTCCTTATTGAAAGAACATCTGATGAGCGAGATATATGTATCTCTCTTGAGGTATCTCAGTTAAGCTTCACACTTCTAATTATAGAGTATCAACAAACTGTTGTGTAAATCAAATTTTTATAATGTCACCTCTTTTCAATGTTTTCATGCGTATAGCGAATGCATAATCTGATAACTCAGCTATTTTTTCGGCGCTTGTACATTGGACAGCCGAGCAAACTATTTAAGCAACGATTTCGATTGGCTTTACCCATATATACATATATGTATGTTGGTGTGTCAGCTATCAGGCTACAGTCCAATTATCCGATATAATGGATTTATGATCGTTACGGGTGTCGATACTCTCTCTTATCTAAGTTTTTTTTTTATGGATGTCTATTAACTGTTCTTATCAGTCACGCCCTCTAGGCTAGGGTGGGACCATTGAAACTGTTCGACTACAGCTGTAATAGCTTCAAAATTTGATATTTATATGGTGCTGGAATAATATGCTAATTATTGTTAGATAAGAGAACTTTTATGATGGAACAATATTGCATAAATAGGGTACATAAATGTACAGGGTATGTCCAAGTCGACCACTTAGAATTATATGAATAATGCACGGCCTAATCACCTTAGTTGAGCTGACTCATAAGAGAGGGCACACTCACTCTTTCTCCCTTTCTAATTCACACGCTCTCGCGTTCTCGCTCTCTCTTTCTCTCTCTCGCTCTCTCTTTGTTATATTCGTTTTATAGATATTGGAATTGCATACTTTTAGACATAGCATCTAAAACTTCTCTCCTATAGCTTGTCTGATAAATTGAGCATTGTTATTCTTAGAGTGCATCACTTTATACAAAAGAAAGATCAATAATTTAAGGCAAAGCTGAAACACAAGTTTTTCCCTTTATTGCTTCATGTCTGCAAAGACTTTTCGAGGTACGCTTTACTTGCAAAGATGGAACATGAAGCCAACAGCCAAAAGCAAGTGGAACCACGTGCCGAAGGAACGCAGCTGGGCAGCGCCATCGCCAGTTGGCTTATAGCCACATTCCAGATCCTTCTCCGGTGASCCCGTGCCATAGGTACAAACTTCATCGTAGTAATTTCCGAATATAGCGAAGGACAACAGGTTGGACAACGAYTCGGTTTTAGCCAGTGCAAAGCGAACATTCAACATGTGGCTGAAGAGAAGAGAATTAGCTACTCAATATCC